TTAGTAGTTACGGCGTGAAAGCGAAACAAACAAACTCACTTTCTGATTTATAATATTAGTAAGGATTAAGTAAGGACGATATGATATGAGCCCACAGCTGTACGAATACGAATCGGAGCTGCGGACAACTTAATGGGTTACCGGGCTCCGGCTCGAAGCAGGAGTGGCAGGAGTAGGAGGAGGTTTTTGGCTAGGTAGAGTCTGACACTCCCTCTCGCCCCACCCAAGGCGGGAGAAGACATTGAATGTCCTCTTATTATATGTGACTTGTACGGATGTGACGATGTGAGCACCTACTAAGGAGGCAGTTAGGTACCATACAGGAGTGGTGGTCTGCCTGGGGAGGGATATAGTTGCCGGGTGACTAGGCATACTGGGGTAAATTATTAAACTATTAGTGGCGATGGCCTTCTCACTAGCGCGCAGCAAATAATGCGTCGTGCTCGTGATGCCCCGGGATTGCGCAGCGTGGTCTTCGCGGACGCGGACACGCAACAAGATTTAGGTACGACGCGCAAGGCGAGGTGTCGTATACGCCACGCGTCTGTGGCGTGTTGTTGACGTAGCCGCGGCGTGGTCCTCGCACGCCCGTAACAACATAAAATAGTTAACAGAAAAATAATACAAAAGTGGTAAACAAATAATAAACAAATTTTGAGTAAGAAATACAAGTGATTAGATAATCAGGCAAATGCAGGTGGGTATAACAAAGCACGCAGACATGGTGAATAACGTATTTCATTATGAAACTTGATCACTGTAGGTAAACTTGTAAGAGCCAATAGCTCATTACCTTACTGTATTTGGAAAATAACATCAGAAACCATAAAAATAAATAAATAAAAATAACTAGGACTCAGATAAGGCAGTTAGTTACTGTATGTGTGTGTGTGAGGGTGTGTGTGTGTGTGTGAGAGAGAGAGGGGGTGTGTGTGTGTGAGAGGGGGTGTGTGTGTGAGAGGGTGTGTGTGTGTTTGTGTGTGTCTGTGTGTGTGAGGGTGCATGTGAGCTTACGTGAGCGCGCTATTGTTGAATTGTGCTCTTTTATTAAGTTATTTCAGGGAGCACAAGAGGTTTTCTGTATCGTCGTACGTCATTTTAATGTTTATAACAGACGTCTTCTTCTTTGTTTGGTAATCAGTAATGTACACACAATATTGTAGTCGTACAAAGACATTAACAGCAGGTAGGCACAGACAACCCGCTCTGCACAGAGTTCTGCCACTGCTGACAGAAGTGTCACGCGGGCTCTGGCTGAAAACCTTCCTGCACTAAAAACTAAATCGATGACAGAACAGAACAAAAGAAAACTTTGGCCATGACAGAATCAAAATTACATGTGAAAATAAAGATCTAAAATATAAGTGCAATAGTGGACACGATGTCGTGAGCTGCCCGGCCCAAGACTGCGAGAACCTAACAAATATGAATAAGTTCAGCGCTGGCATCTGGTGGCTGCTCTGTCTACTGATACAGGTGACGGCGCGCCACCGCCAGGTCCACGCGACCTGCTCGCTGCCTTACCATCAGTTCTCATTGTCAGGTCACGTCGCCCGCGCAATGTACGCGAAGTGTGCTGGTAACGTGTGTATCCTCGGTGGAGCAGTTGTTGCAAACTCGAGTGTATCTCAGCCAGTGACTTGGCGGCCGATAGTACAGGGCACGCGTTTTTAAAATGATCTTTATTGAACGTTCATTATGCTGTTATTTATTTAAGTCTGAATACACTATCTACTTATCTACTGAGTAGATTTCTGTCATCGCCCGCTACTTGTCATCGTGTAAACACGTCCAGTACGCTGCAGTCGCGTGATGTTACATCCGTTGTCTCTCCCATAGTGTTGTGCCTAAATTACAAACTCAACAATCAGAAATTACATTGGAATATTACTTACTTCGTTTCCTTCCCCCGTCCTTGTCTCAATTTTTATAAAATATCTTACATACATAGTGCTCTCGTCCAGTCAAAGGCGTTTGTGACATAATCACTGAGACACCGCCACACCGGTAATGAAGGTTTCTTTAACGCCCGGATAAATTTAATGCCAAGCCGAAACCACACTTAATCGTTATTAGATCTCATTTATTTAGCAAGCATCATGATTTTCATACTATGGGCCTTATCATACTAGCGGATTGCGAGCGTTTTCAAAGCGAAGCAGGCGTGCAACGAACACTGTACGGCTGCACGACGAGCACGCTGCGAGTGCGTAGCGATTACGTGGCGAACACAGTTGCTTGCAATTCGCGAGCATGATAAAGCCCAAACTCCTCAAAGTACGGAATTAAATAACGAGTTTCTAAATTTTGTGCACCACACCTTAGTAGCGAATGAATGTATTTCAAAAGTTGGACTTAGGCTCAGCTAATAAGCTCTGTGAGGGTGGTGTGTACGTAATACAAAGAGGGCGCTGGTGTCGCAGGTGGTCAGCGCTCTAGCGTGCAAGAAGAAGACGTCGTGCCGGCCACCGCGCTGTCCCGGCGGCTGCAAGCCCAAGTACTGGTGATCAGACCGAGTAATGGTGAGTCACTCCCTGTACCGGTACCACTGGGAAACTATTCACTTGCCACAGTACCGGGTTTACAGACGAAGCAGTCTGTCTACTCATCAGATTCTTGTATCTCTGCCTGGCAATATGCACATTGTGTATGACGTCACCAGTTGTACGGAGCTACATCTAGAATAATAATTATTGTTTAGAAGGTAAATGACCCAGGGTAGCCGCGAAATTTAAATTTTCCTGTGTTTTTGCGATTTAAATACTTAGGCGTCTGCCTCGAATTATGCGGGCAGCGGTGAGGGGGTGGCGGGGGCGGCGGCGCGGCGGCGCGGTTGGCACTGCTTGACTAGAGTGCACCGCTCGTTGCCCGCCGCAACGCCGTTGTCTTGTCGAGAACCAGTCGTCAGTTTGATTTTAAGTACGCATAAGATCCTGCCGCTCCCGCGCCGCCGCCGCCGCCACCCCGCTGCCCAAAATTCGAGGCAGAGGCCTTACAGCTCAACCTCGGTTACTATCATATTATGAAAATATTATTACACATTCGCAGTAGGTAGTCAAATGTCGTGTTTACAGTTTTAATTGTTTAAACTATTAATTATCATAATTCTTAATTCGTCGAGCTACCATTGAGCGCATGTATGTGTATGTGTGTGTAGTGGTACGAGTGGGCCGTGTCGCTGTGGTGGTGGGCGCTGTGCGTGGCGCTGAGCGCGGTGGGCGCGCGCGGCTGCAAGAAGAAGACAGTCTGTCGCCCGCCGCCCGGCGGCCGGCCCGGCTGCGGCGGCCGCGGCAAGCGCTGAGCAACCACGAGGTACCATCATAGTATACGACATCCCCGGACTGCGTCACGTTGTCAAGTATTTTATTCAAGACTGCAGTTAAACCAACCACGTGTTTCGACATAATAAGGTAAGGTCTGAAGTCACCAGTAGCGGGTTTTTTTTAAGGGGGGATAATCATCGAGTTACTGCTCCCGCCTCTAGTGTCCGACTCTTACTGACTAAAAACCATCCCGTTCCTTCTCCTGCATTTCGAGCCGGAGCCCCGGTAACCCGTTAGGTTCTCCGCGACTCCGAATCGGCATCAGCCCTATTGGGCCCGGGGTTAAAGCAAATAAATGATTAACTAATTTTATTTTGGAGACCGAGGACAGAGTTGTCGGTCGACTCATTGAATTAAGTAGTTATCTCACTAACTACAAAGTCACTACAATGGTCACGATCAGCAGTGGACGTGTTACGGCTGATATGCTCTCACCACAGTATCGGTAGACTGGACGCACGTAATGTGTCGAGGTGCGTGTAACTCGGCGCGTCGTGTTCCAGGGAGGTGTTCCTGTAGACGTGAACAAGGAGCCACACACACAGACACAGTGAGGATCTTACATGTAAGTGTGACATACTAGTTAGTAGTAGATGAGATTCCCATTCCAAGCAAATATCTCGAGTTGATCCATTTCCCGGGTTAGGCAAAAAACAATTATTTGTTTCAGTAGTTATACGAAGTCTGGAATGGTGTGCCATAATATCAATAAAGGTCCGCCTGTAATATTCGGGACTTGCATTTAACCCTTTGAGTACCGTCATTATAGACACAATTAAAGAACAATAGGTTGCGGTCAACGGTGTCCTCGTGGTGTTTGACAGTTTAAAACGTGCACTGCATGCGTTTTTAGCAACCCCAAATTGGTACTGTATCTACAAACAAGCCACTATACCAGCCGGGAATGTCAGAGAGAGGCCATTGTTCATCAAATGGTGTATTTATAATAATGTTAGTACTTTAGCACAGTTCTGTTGTTGACAGACTCCTCACTAGAACTGACCACTGCCGGCCCGAGGTGCGCAGAGTGCGTCCGAGTGCTGCTACTAGCGCTCACATTGTTGACTCGTGATATTTTTAATATTAGCTTTATATTTACTCTATAAAATATATCAAATAAAAAGAAGGAAAATTTTTAAAGTATTTTTATTGCCCTTAAAATTAGATCCTTACTGACTAAGATTTTACTTCAGTAGTTCCTGAAACAAACAAACATAAATATGAGTTGAATCACAGTACACAATACACACACACTCTTGTCGATGTAGGAGCGCTGCCTGTACTGCACTACCATTACTAGGAATATGTGAACAAGTGTTGATCAGTCAGATGTTCACTCACATTGACACGCTCCATTTAGTTTGACAAACAAAACTGATGAGAAACTAACAAAATTAGCGGGATGGCAACTACATATTATAAATGTAAAACTTAATACTTCAGGAGTTAGGAACTTATGTTTCAGACTAGATAACTCAACATAGTGTTGACTGCTGACATCTCAAGGACAATTGTGTATTCATGAACTTATTCTCTAAAATTAACTAAACAAAACTATGTAAATTAATGATGAATGATATGGCAAGTACTGAACATATTGGATTTCCTTCAATAAATGAAACGTTCCAATTCAAAAATATAAAGTTACAAATAGTACAAGTAGTACAGTAGCTAGACTCACTTAGCCAGTATGCCGTCCTTCTTGGTGAGCCGGACGATGCAGTCGTCGGACTCGCCCATGCGGCGGATGGCTCCGCACACGACGTACATCTTGGAAGTGTCGGCGGCGCGGCCGGTGGCGGGGTCAACGTCCGCGATCACCAGCTGCACGGACGCGTGGTCCTTGGCGTGGATCAGACGGTTGCTGGCCGAGCTGGAATGTACAAGTCAGAATGTTTACTTCCACTCCACCTTGAAGGGACGTTGCCAAGAGATGCCTTGGAAGTATCATTTAATTTGTTATTTAGGTAAACTATAGCTGAAAGTATTAAACAACGTTTATAATTACAAATGAATTAATTAAAAATTGTTTGCAGTAGGTTCCAATGACTATGTACAAGTAAGCTCTGTGTATAGTTATTTGTCTGTTGTATGGTAGATGGGGTAAATAGCTCAAAATGTTGCTGAAGCTGACAGAAACTATATTTATGATTTAATACTTGAGTAAAGCTTTACTCAATGGCAATTGACATGTCAACAAACATTAAACTTCTAAGGAATTATAGCCAGTGAATGTCAGTACTTAGGCTTATTGATTTCAATAAGTCACAACAAAATCATTCACACTGCAAGGATAAGCACAAACTCAAGATGATCAAGTTCTCTGTACTTGGTGCTACCATGAGTATCAATTACAATGCAGCTTCTTCATATTAAGTGATCATACGAACACGTTACACGTAAAAATCAGTAACATTACGCTACAAACGTTGAAAATTCCACATAGTTAATGTATCGCACACCGCGCAACGTGCAATGTGGTCAACAATGTAAAATAACCTCAAACCACACTCACCATTTCCTCGGGCAGTACAAGTCAACGAATTCTCCAGCGTCGTTCTGCATGTTGTATGTCTGAAACACAAACGATTACGTGACCACAAGCTAAATATTCGTGGAATATCACTATTTTATAATAATTTATTGTAAAATTTACGTACAATGCACACTAGCCACGGATATGACAAGCGAAAGAAAGAAGCAGTGTTGCCAGTTGCTAATATCTAAACGTCAAAAATGACAATTTGTGTATTAAATTTTAAGAAACAGGCTTTTAAGACTCGCAATACATGTAAAAATAAATAGCGTTAGAAAAAAATTTAAAACTTATTTTAGTATATTTGAGTGTAAAAGATAACTTGTTTTAACTTTGTATTTCCAAATAATAAAACCTAAATTACAGAAACTAAGTACTTAACTTATTTTATAAAACTGTTTTTACTATCCTTTTCTAAATAGCCATGGCGTAATCAAAAGTACCTACTTTAAAATACAATAAAGTTGCACACTAAACTCATAGATTACAATGGAAAGAGGATTTTTCATTTCTAAGCAATGAAAAACATGTTTTGTACATTCGAAATGTCAAACTTATTAAATGTATGAGTGTAAATTAATGTTGCCTCTGCTGACTGCCTCATTGGCTGAGTGGTCGCAAGTGCGACTGCCGGGCAAGGGGTCTCGGGTTCGATTCCCGGGTCGGGCAAAGTATTACTGGGTTTTTAAAAATCTCAGTAGTAGCACGGAGTCTGGAAAAATGTGCCCGGTATATGGCAATAGGCTCACCCCTATTACATGGGACTCATAACATAAATAGTGAAAAGTGGGTGTTACATTGTACAGTGGCATTAAGTGCCGAAATGTGCACCTCTGCCTACCCCTTCGGGGATAAAAAGGCGTGATGTTATGCTGTAAATTAACCTTTTGAGCGCCAGGGTCACAAATACGTGACAAGCGAAAACTGTCCCTGAGCGCCAACGACACAAATATGTGACAAAAACAGCGGTACATTAAAACACGAAATAAACTATTTAAACATTACTTTAATGCCTATTTATTTATATACCTGTAAAATAGAAGGTCCAAAATTTATTTATTTCCATAAAACTAATTAAATTTCATTATAAATATTGAGAAATTTTACGTTAAAAAGAAAGAAATAAACTCAGAAAAAAGGATGTCCTCACACGCCAGAGTCATAACTGCGTGACCGCTAGTGATGTAGCGCATGTTGGATAATATCATTATTTCAAATCAAAGATCGATTCGAAACTTTCCTCTGGAATATATTATTTTAGGTATAATTTGGTACTAGGATAAAGCAGCATTAATTTTATAAAACCAGTCTTAAAAATCATTCAATAAGCTACATAGTCAAAAATAAAATTTGGTTGGGTCGAATTTCGATATTCACTAATCCCAACTCAAGCGCATCCCTAACGCAACCCGAATTATCAGTACCCTGTACGCCATGGTCACAACTAGACGACAATATCGTGACGTCACAAGCGCGGCGACCAGAAATTAGTGAAGTGAATTAATAATATTTATGATTAATAATATTTATGATTAATATTTATAATAATATTTAACTGACTCCGACAAACGAAATTTACAAACAAACTAAATTATTTAACATTTATAGTATATATTTATATAATACATGTATTCTAGTTCGGAAAATTCTTTCGAAGGACATACATACTCAGATCACCTTCACAAAGAAACGCATTCTGAGACGTGCTCAAGACATACACATAGCAAGTACTAGAACTAACTTTGGAAAGAAAACAATAATTTATGAGGGAGTAAAACTTTATAACTCGCTACCAAAAGATATAAAAAATACACAATCTTTGTTTCTTTTCAAAAAATTACTAAAACGTCACATCTTGAAGGGATACAACAAAAACCATTAGTATATAATTATCATAAAAAAAATATATAATAAAATTTAAATAAATTAATAAAAACTAAACTTAAAAGAAACAATATAAAATAAGTATAGGTACCATAAAAAGGAAAAAAAAAACAAAATAAAAATTGTAATGATTCGTCAACAATGTTATAATGGTTTTCGCCTAGTGTGAGCCGATCCTGCAAGTGAACCGCACGGAGGGCCGTATCAATGCAGCGCACGGCGGTAGGCCGTAAGATATTTGTCATTAAATATTTTAACGAATACCTCCATATATACTTATTTGCTTACTTTGTCGTTTAAAATTATTATGTTAATGTTAAAATCCTAAAATTGTGACCGCTATTTACAACTCTTGTTACTCCTGGACAAATCAAAAAATGTAAAATTAGTTTAAGTATTTATTTCTGTACAAGTGATTTGTAATCTTTTAGAAATAAATGAATTCAAACCGTAAACCGTATTAATTTACTTGTGATATCGAGTTCAAGATTTATATTAAGTGACTATTATAATGAGTGGGAATTTAATGACTACGGAAGAAGAGCGAGAGTATTTGACTCGAAACTTTTATTCTAAGTGTGGGCTCCATATTTACCTATAACTTCGTGGAATAAAGTCTGCCAAAAGTTCCTTTTTTAGCCACGGTGCGCGCTGAGATCGATTTCACTGTCCCCACCACCCACTTTGCACCCAGCGAATTAGATGATCAGAATGCAGGTTGCATTGTAGATTTTGTATAATTTTGTTCTATTATTCAAAAGATTTATTAGTATAAGACTGATTGGTAATTGTGATAATTATATATAATCGTTAATTGTTTTAATTTGTTACTTTTTATGCCAGGTTTATAGAACTTAATATTTAAAAACATGTATACATACTATGTATACATGTTACTATACATGTTTTGTATACATAAAATGTTATACATATAGTACATACTGTATAACATTTTATTAAAATTTTCTATTTTTTCATAGTTTTTATTTACCTTCTTAACCTATTTCAATCATATATTTTTAAGTACCTGTTACATTCGGAATTATAAATCTGATTTAAAAAACGTGTTTCATTTATTATAAAATAATATCGTACTAGAACATCGATAAACGAGATATTACGTTGCCACATCCTTATTTCGGAAGCGAAGTAGTTATTAAAATGGCGGGCCGTCCACGCCATGGTCACAATATGAAGACAGCAGATCAAGAATAGTGTTGTACATGGTTGTACCTATAGTTATTATATTTAAATATATTGTAGTCTCATATCTGTTATTACGGTATTATACAAGTCTGTAAATAGTGTATAACTATTACTTTAAACTGTCAAATACCAAGCGGTCACCGGTGACCGCGACCCATTGTTCTTTAATTGTGTCTGTAAAACCGGTACTCGACGAGTTAATAGGAAGAAATGTAATGTTGAATTAAATTTCAATGTTATAAGGACATTATATTTCGAAATTAAAGACGAAAATGAAAATAAAATTGATTATCGATGAAGTTTTGGAATCCCTATTTTTTTCGTAGGCATTTGCGGTGAATTTGTGGCCTGGCGCTGAGGGCAAGTTCATGCGTTTTTGCTCTGGCGTTCAAAAGGTTAATAAACTTGAATTGCCAATAATGCCAGTATGGATGGTCACTCTGTTGAACAGTTTTGATTCTTTCGTTAGATTACAATTTTTCAACAGGAACCACAAAAACGTCTGTGTAGTCTGTATCAGCCCGAAGCAATAATATTCCCTTTGGAACCTCTCGTAAACAGATACTTACCTAAATATAATATTCCTGTCTATAAAAACGTTACCCTTACCCCACACTTAAGACTTTCTTCCGTGTCGTGGGTGCAATAACAAACATACAATACTAATACATAACTAGACCGGAAACAACGATTTATGGATCTGTTACGAGAGTCCTTTAGGATTTCTTTTTAAAAAAAACTAATTTTATATTAAAACTATTTTAATTAATTAAAGGACTGAGTATACAACCGTACCGTTCGGAGATCTTGTTCAGACTGAGGGGTCTGGCATGCCACCTTACACGTTAAGATATAACAATGATGATGATGCATTTCTTATGTCATCCCAGCATAAACCCTTACATATCAGGGATATAACACCTCCCCCTTTAAGAAGAGGCTTTGGGGTTGGTTCAAAGTCTCTGTTATATTATTACCCTAAGTGGAGCAATATTACTTGTATTAGGTGTACTATCTTCGAAACCTGTTTGTCTATCTGTCATTTCTATTGAAGGTTCAGGCTGAGATGATGTTATAAATATTTGCTCTATTCCTACGGGAACGGTTATATCGTTGACAAATTTTCTTATAAACTAGGTAATTAAGAAATATAAGTATAAGGATTACAATTGCCAGTGTTACAATAGAATAGTGTTTACCATATGTTACAATATGAGGGGTGTTGGATTTGTTTACAAATTCAAGGTCATTTAAAATAGACTTTATCTTATCATTATAATTGGTATGTAAATCATCTAGGTCTATGTTATTTAGTTTTACAGGGAGTATATTACTGGCATTTTCATATACTGTTTTTATGGAACAACAAGAGTCTTCAATTAAGTTAAAATCTGGAAAATGTCTGATTGGTGAAGTTATATTAAAATTGTTTTGTTTAGGTATAAGTGTGGTAGCTTTACAGTGGACAATGCAATTTTTGGGGATACTTAATATCCCTGTACCTGAAATGGTGGTTTCTTTTAATTTGTTATTTAAACAGTCTATCGATATTTTGTTAGGTTTTGACTGTACAAAGATCCATTTATTATTGATCAGGGATTTCCAGATATTTACCTTTCCAATGAGGATCTTCGTATGACATTGAGCAGGTTTCACGCTAATTACCTTGGTAAGGAGTTCACTTTCACATGTAGGTTTTGCATCAGTAGAATACACATTTTCAATATCACAGATATAATTTCCAGAAGTCACTATTTTACAAATTTCCAAACTATTGAAAACACAATAGTAGGATTTGTCTTTGGTCATTGCTATGTATTTGTTATCAGGGAGAATTAAACTGAAAGTGTTTGGGTTTGAAGTATTGTGTGGTGTTGGTAATGCAATATTATGAAATAGCAGATATTCTTGAGTTTTTACCATTGGCACTTGCAATATAAAAACTACCTTATTACTAGTATAGAAACAAACTAACTTAGAAATACTTAAAATAACATGTATGGACTTAATATCTAAAGATACAGGCAACTCAAGGTCACTGGGTAAATGTCTATAGTTATCTACTAGTTCCTTGTGGAGTTGTGTAGGGGTTACTATTGCAGGGTGTAAAATATTTTGGG